TTGTTCCTTGTATTTTAAGGTTTTTTTCTACCTTGATTTTGCCAAATTTAACAGACATTTAATCAAGCTCTTTGATAAAGAAATACATTTCTAACTTCACTAAATTAAATGTTTCTTTCTAGGACTAAGCATGGAGATTGATTTTCACCCCAAAGCCTCAGCTTAGCAGATGATAGTTCTGATTTACATTTGTACTCAACAAAGATGTTGAACAAAACCCCAAAGAACCCTCTGAAACTCTTTCACATCCCATTTGCTGTTTATTCACATTCCCCAAACTGACTCAGGATGTCCTGGACTCTGGCCTTCCTAATGAAGGCACTGACTTCCGTGGTCGGGGAAACTCATCTAAGGGGAAGATAGACTCTACCCTAAGAGATTTAGAATATCACTATGCCAACAGATAAACATTTTGAAAGGAAAAATAAGTAATAGTCACGAAAGAAAATTTTCCCTGACCATGATTTCCTAACAAGAGGAAAATTAGCATTTTCAAGAGAAATAACAATACCTATGATTATTCAAGAAAAAATGTAAATCTGTGTTTTGTTCTATCATCTTCACAATGTAAGTTTAAACATGTTTCTATTTTAGGATTTTTTTTTTGAGTTTAGAGGATTAGATTCCAAACTTTAAAGCATAATCTAAAGATGGATGAAACAAATTAACCTTATGTCACTGAAAAAGTAATAGCTGGGTTGTTCTAAATACTCAGATTATATATGGAGCATGCACCTGTATATGTGCTACACTTAATGTATGCAGGAATGTACCCAGACTATATGTGGGCAGGTGCCTGTGTGTGCACTACACTTAATGTATGCAGGAATATACTCAGATTATATGTGGACATGTACTTGCGTATGTGCTACACTTAATGTATACAGGAATGTACCCAGATTATATGTGGGTATGTACCTGTGCATGCTACACTTAATGTATGCAGGAAGAAGAGCCCATTTCCTTCACCCAAAGAAATGTTAATGGAACAGACTTCACTTTCTTTAAGATCTGGTTAACATTCTAGATAACAAAATGCATTACACTCAATAAGCAATTAGCCCTTGTGAGTCTGAAATGAGCCACACTTTACAGCTGGCTCATGTATATGGCAGGCAAAAAGTCAGGTTTGTTGCCTTAGGGACAACTCAGAACAATCATTCCAGCATGAGAAGGAAAAAAGAATCTCGTCTCCTCCTTCTGAAGAATCCAGAGCTATACTCTGGAGACAACACAGCTTGCACTGCAGTGTTTTCCACTTTACTGAAACCCTAAGCTACAGGAAAATAGCATGCAGATGTGCTGTTTGTGATTTGAGGAGAATTTTCAGGCCAGAGACTACGGTCAGGAATATGGTTATATTTTAAAAGCATTAGCAGTATACTTTTCACGAACTATCACTTATGCATAACAAACAATAAAAAAAAAGGCACGGGGCAACAAATATCAGCATCTCCAAAGTTTTAGTTCTTCAGTGAAAAATCAAAACAGTAAGCACTTGTATTTTTGAGCTCTTTCAACCAATGCTGCTTCTAACCATGAAATAAAGACTCCCCACAGAACTATACATACTAGTTCTTCATGGTGCAGATGGTGACTGTGGGAAGCCTGAGACCCGAAGGGGTGTCTGCACCATCCTAGGAGTAGCATTAATGAACAAGAGTTCAGAATATTTGAGGGTATGTGTGTGTGTGTGTGTGTGTGTGTGTGTGTGTGTGTGTGTGTGCATATATGTGTGCGTGCACATGTGGATGTCAGAGGACAACTTCAGGTGTAGTTCCTCTGGTGCCCTCCATTATACTTTTTGAGAGAAGTCCTTTTACCAAGTAGGCTAGGCTGGTGGTTCAACAAACCCCAGGGATATACCTGTCTCTGCCTCCCCAGTGAGGGAATTACAAACACATGTGATCCCATCCAGTTTTTTAATGTGGTTGCTGGGGATTAAACTCAAGTCCTTGTGCTTGCAGAGCAAGCACTTTACTGACTGAGCTATCTCCCCAGGCCCAATTTTTTTTTAGTTTTATTACTCATTGCATTTAATGAGTTGAAAATCAGTAAACTGTATTGAAAGGAACGTTTTATTGTCCAGAAGAACTTGATCAAGCTAAACACCACAAATGGATGATTCTTGCCATGGGGTGCCTTCTATGGGAATTTTATAAATGTTCTTAAGTCATTAGTGACTTGCTAGAGAAAGACAAATCATGGATGCTTCTCTAGTGGACAGAGTTAGCATCTCTCCCAAATGTTGGCTCCCTGAAATTCACCATCCGCAGGCTTCCTATTAGAGCACTCAAAATTAACTCAGGGCACTACTGACTGACTTTCAAGTATTTGTTGTTGTTGCTGCTGTTTTTAAATTTTTGCTGATTGTTCTGTTTTCAAATAACAGATACAGCACAGGGAATTCCAGACACAGAGAGATTCACTATAATGCAAATGACCAGGATTAGATACTTATTGTTCAAGGGCTGAAATAGTATAAGACTTAAAATATGTGTTTCACATTTCATCCAAATGTTCTTCTTTAAGAGTGGTAGAATTAGCTAGATTATCTTTCATTTTGTAGAAGAAATCTTTAATTAGTTTTCTAAGTTATCTGCTTTTTTTTTTTGTTTAGATAAGTGATCTGAATTCTTTAAAATGCTGATCTTGTGCAATTCTGACAACTTTAACTTTATTAAATATTATTACTTGGGTCATGAGTAGTTATATCAATGCACAAATTTATGAAGTAACACATTGTTCGATACCAACCATAGATGTCCATTTATTCCACAATAGCACATAGCATCAAATTAAACTGCAAAAGATTTCCCACATTTGTTTTACATTCTATATGTATGGCTTATGAATCGCAATTTTGATGAAGTCCAGCTGTTTTAAATATGCAGGCCAACCCTTATATAACAGATTCTTTCAATTCTTATTGTATTCACTTACTGTATTCACTGAGGCCCATTTTAAGTGGGCCACCTGGTAAGATAAAGGACTAAATACATGAAGTAAAAAAAAATATGAAAACAAATCCTCCTGCCAAACTGAAGACCATCTCTCCAACTGTATGGCTCTTATGTGTGTGGAATAAGTGAGAAGCAGCACTAATCTTTTAGAAAATTAGCATTTAGATTTAACCAAACTAGTAACCCTATGAACGGCTCATTTATCCATGGTGGTAATGACATTGAAATACTTCCCACCATTCATAGGAGTTGCCTGTTTTCATAAATCTATCATATACACATTGGTCCCCGCACTGTTCCCCACACCCTCCTGCTTCCATGCAGCTGGAATTCATCAAGGACGCAGAAGCCAAGTTAAATGTTGACCCCACCCTCCTCCATCCACTTTAAGGCACCTTCAAAGCCAGTGCACTGAGGATCTTGCTCAGTTTCGCCAACAAAGCCAGCCATACTGCTGTTTAAGACCCCAGTCTGGGATTTTTATAATTGCACATTAACATGAGAGCTTTGATTTTAGGTCAAAAACTTCAGCTTCACTGAATTTTATCAGGTTGATATACCTTTCTGTGACAAATCCTCCTCATTATTAAACCTTCCTAATCCTCGCTCTCAGTGTTAGTCTCTCTCTTTTCAGCAATCTCTCTGAAATGCCCAATAAATAGCCTTGAAGAACATATCATATTTCCCTTCCAAAAGGTCAAAACAGAACAGCAATTGTGCTCATCCACACACATTGCCCCCAGCATTTGCACGCCCCATATGATCCATATATGATAATAGAAAATGGTCATTCCAACGTGCACAGAATCACTCTTGTCAAGACACATGCAGGAACAGAGTAGGGGCTGGGGAAAAGAAGGGCTGCAGGAGGACACAGAACTTACTTTGTTGCTCCCCTGTGCATGGAGCCGCAAGGAAAAGAAAAAGAAATATGTTAAACATAAATTTATTTTTAAAATTATGAGATTTTTCTTGCTAGAGCATAATCCAAATGAACAACTTAAGCATTCACTGCATCCTATCGCATTCATTCAGCATCCAGAGCTCATGGACAAGTTGAAGAGTCCACACAGAGTAAGTGAAATCATACAATTACAGCAGCGGAAAAAACTCAAGACAGAGATTTCAACTCCCCCCTTCTTTCTACTCAGAATATTTGAGGTATGGGAGCAGAGCCAGAAAGAATTGGTTTGAATTGGTAATAAGTGATCGGATAGCATGACAGGCAGGTAGTTAGTGCTGGCTGGCCCTCTCCTGACAGCCCCTCCCCCAATATGCCAAGCAGTGGAAAATTTCATCAGCTAGTACGTTTATTTAAACAAACACTGCATCCTTGGTTTCGAAGAAGGTGGAATTGAAAAAAAAAAAATTACTAGGGAAGCAAGAGTAGTGGAAAGGTGTGGTGGTTTGGGGCAATGGAGGAGGCAGACCAAGTTATAACCTCCATCTGTACAATTCTTTTGTAAATTACGAGTTTTGTCTTGGGTTGGCATGGGAAGTCAAGACTGTATAGTGGGGCTGCAGCCAAAATAAGCAGCAGTCCACATTCAAGAAAACCAGTCTGGAAACGTTAGTTGCAAAAATGTAATCATTTCTAAAAGCGACATTCTGGATGGAGACTGAGAGCAGCCAGTGGTGAGTGGCTGTCAGTGGCTCTCCTGCTGCAAACTGGAGCTGAGTGAGTGATTTATATCAAACAATTTAACTCACATATGGCCTAAAAAAATAAAATGGTGATTCATTACTCCCAGGGTAGCCTGAGTCCTTGCGAGGTCAGATCCTGTGGGGAAGATGTGATGGGATGTGAGCCGGGAACAGAACTGAGCTCTCCTTACAGAGGTCCAGGAGAAATGTCTCACTGAGATGTGAGGTTGTAGAGAGCTGTGAAAGAAGTGTGTGCATGGAGCAAGACACTGGGGATAGTGAGCACCAGCCTAAAGAGCTGACATTTAGATCTAGGTTGAGGATGTGAAGTGGAGTTGCGGGGCGGAGGGAGTGGAACATACAAAGAAATGTTCTGGGAGAGCAGTGAGAGGGAAGGCAGTGATCCCAGGAGAGTGCTTTCTTGAAAGCAGTGCCAGCTGGTGACTTTAGGGAAATGTCTCTTCCAAGGGCCATCACAGCCATCATATTTAATAAGGAAAACATAAAGACACTGATAAAATTGTGTTAGAAACATTTCTTGGCATTATGGGCTGCCACTGTACAGCTGTCCACACCAGCTTATCACTCACATAAACAATGATACCAGAATGAATGAAGAGAAAAAAATAAACAAAATCAAAACCCCAAACAAGTCCTTCCTAAAGACTAGGCCAACGGTTCAATAAGGCAATAAAAACCCCCACTGAAAATTTTACTATGCATAAAAGACTATTTTAGAGAATAATGGGACCCTGGTTCTCCTAAGAAGTGAGTATTGCTGAAAATACTTCAGACACACGGAGTTTATTGCATTCCACAATCCTTCAGCTTTTGATCTAGCAAATAAGTTTCAGGAGCTCAACCAAGTATTTTTGCACATTAGGGATGATTGACTGGCTTCCCTGTGCCATGGCAGATGGTTCAGTTTGTAGTGATGTCACGAGGTAGGATGCCTTGATCCTTAAATGCAAGGAACACAGAGGCAGAGGACAGAGGACGTGGTGTAGCTTGGCTCTTTCTTGTTTCATACAATCATTTCCCAATTATCTATTGTGTGAGAGGCATTATGGTCAAGAATGGTGAATTATAAATGTTTTAAAAGTCTCTCTACTACTCTGGGTGACAACAACTTATGTTAAAATCCTTGTAGGTATTTCCACAGAAAAATAGTTAAGACTTTTTGCAACAGGACATACAGTTCCTTGATGTTCCGTGTAAAGCACAGCTGGGAATTAAAGAGCTATGTACAGTGGGGGTGTTAGATATTGCCACCCCTATAATCTTAGAAGATAGATGCATGCTTATCACATTAGTAAATAGTTGTGGAAGCCCACTGCTTTTCCTCTCTTCCCCCTGGAAAGACACAGAGACCCTTTCTTTTAACTACTATTTGACACAGAGGAAAATTCACTATCAGAGTCTCCTAAAAAAAGTTCTGAAGGATTTCAATTTTAAGATGGTTTTGTCCCACAAAACTGTTTAAAAGCATCAGTTATGGCTGGGGGAGTCCCAGTTCACAAGAAAGAGAATGTCAAAGTACTTTCACTCTCTATTACTACTTTAAATCTCGGAAAAAATAGTATACAACAGAGGAAGAAGACATGTAACAGAAATCGAGAGAGAGAGAGAGAGAGAGAGAGAGAGAGAGAGAGAGAGAGAGAGAGAGAGATCCCCTGAGATATTTGAGCTATTTGACTAACTGAATTTACACAAATCATTTCCAGGGCATGCCTGGATCTCACTTTGCCTCCTTTCCATGAAGGGGGACCAACCAGTCTCTAAGGGCAGGGATGGAACTTCTTAGTTATCCTGATAGCCCCTGGGCTGTTTCCAGCCTTCTTGATTCAACCTTCAAAAGGTTGAATTCAAAGGTTGGCCTGTCCTCTTAACAGGACTGACTCCCTCTAAACAACTAGGCTTCCTAGACAATAGATAAGCAAGTTCTTTCTTACATACCCAAATCCCACTGATAGGAATTACTGCTTTGTGTACACATTCAGGGTTCATGATAATAATAATGATGATGATAATAAAGGCAACATGGCCCTGAACACAATCACTCTATTGAAGGCACTGACCTGGTGCTGATGTGCCAGAACCTTAAAGTCACTCTGAGGAAGGTGTTAGCTTGAGCTTAGAGCAGTATAAATAACTGGAGAATTAGTCATGGTTCCTAAGCACATTGCAAATAAATAGCAGGGCCAGGATTTAAATGTGAAATGAATTTGACTTAAAGTCTACCTCATTCCACCTCATACTTTATGTTTCAAATAACTTGAATTTATGATTCCTTCATGTCATACTTGTCTCATTGAAAGCCAACAAAATTATGCCAAAAGGCATGTTTATTATATCATGTTCCTTAGATATTTAATCAAATTCATATTTACATGTAATCAAATTTATGGGGAAAAGTTCATGCACATGTGTTGGTAAAATAAACTTCTGAAAGTTCTTTAATAGTTTCTAACTACTAATACACATACACAGATATACACAGATACAAACACACCTATACACACACACACAACTTGTATCTTAGTTTGAACAGTTAACTAGTCATTCCATTAAAAACAAATTTATTTTGAAACTATGTAAATTTCTGTACTTACCAATATAAAATTTTATAATGGTTATAATTTTAATTTAATGGCCAAAAGAAATAGAAATAAAAGAAATAGGGGTATGGGAGATGCTTCATTTGGTAAAGTGCTTGCCATGTAAGCACACAGACCTGAGTTCAGATCCCTAACACCTGTGTAAAAGTGGGGCAAGGTGGTACAGGCTTGTAATTCTAGTGCCAAGGACAAGAGGATCCCTGGTTGTTGCTGGACTAGTCTGTCTAGAGGAATTAGAAAGCTCCAGGGAAGGAAAGAAGGGAGGAAAGCAGAAAGAGAGAGATACTTTTTAAAAAATGATAACCTCAATAGAAATGATTTAGGAGAGCAGCAGGGTGCAGAATGTCTTGATGTGAGTGACAGGAAATATTCTATCACATGAAGGCAATGGGAAAAATTTGGTGGTAATATCATTTAAAATGTGCACATGAAACCTTAGCAGGTAAAACAATTGGCAGAAAACATCCTTTCATTTAAAGTGAGTGATAGGTATTTAGCTAAATGGCATCTGCTTACACAGTTCTTAAAAATGATGGATGCAGAAGCTTCTTTCCAGGCTGGGGAGATGGCTCACTCAGTAAAGTGCTGACCTTGCAAGCATGAGGGCCTGTGTTTGGATTCCCAGAGCCCACATCCACAATCAGGCATGGCAGCACATGTATCTGTAATCAAGCTCAGAGACATCTAGCGTGGCCTATTTGGTGAAGTTTCAGGCCAACGAGAGACCCTGTCTTAAACAAAAGGTATTTGTGGTCCAGCTCCAGAGGCTGCCCTCTGATCTTCACATCCATGCCATGTATGCACAGACACCCATGCATGTATGCATCCATCCACACATATCCTACCACAGACAGACAGACAGACACAAACACACACACATACACACACATCAAATAAAATAAAGACTATTCCCCCCAAGTCAAAGCAGACATTTCTGTGTAGAAATCAGAACTTTATATGTTTAAATCAGTTTTAATTCATGCCTATCTATGACACATACTAGTATTTCACTCTTAGGGTAGTGACTGACAGATTTGTTAGTGATTCAATAATTTACTGACACAAAAGCAAAATATACTGGAAGGAAGTCCTAAAAATTTACTGATTTTCTATCTGATTTCATTAAGTGGTTTCAAATTAGTAAGAACTACTTAAAACTATCCTGTCTCCTAAATGTGAGAATATTTACAAAGTGGAATCGCTACTTGATTTATCACCATAGTTATCGTTAGACATCTGAATATCAAACAATCCTTTAAGCCAAGTTGATCTGGAAGACCACAGGGTGTATAAAAAAATGCGACACTGTTCACAATGAAATCAGAAAAGCAACGTCCAGGGCACCGTGCCAAGTTTCATTTCCTATTTTGTTTCTGATATGCTGTTAAAAATATATATAACTTTTTCTTGATCTTCTAAGCAGATTGTACCAAATGTGTGTTTGTAAGCAAATGAAAATTTTATGAAAAGAATCAAAACAGATTGTATAGGACAACCCTAAATTTGTTTAAAATTGAGTATTATGATAAAAATAGAAGGTATTTCTTAGACTGTGTACTTGGTGTATAGCTATGGGTCCATGAATTCTAGATTTATAGAAGCAATTCATGGTGGGGGGCAGGGATAAATAATTTTGCTTTCCCATGACAGGTTTTCCCTTAGAAAAACATACTACATAATTTCTTTGAGTATCTATTTGTTTCACTTAAAATAAGTTTACTTATAAAATCCTGACTTAAACCATTTTCATAAGCTCTATACTATACTACATGTAAAGAAAACAGATACAGACACCAAGTACATATACACTAATATCTTTTATCATAAGCTCTATTCTATACTACATGTAAGGAAAACACACACAGACACCAAGTACCTATACATTGATATCTTTTGTTGTTGTTGTTTTAAGACAGGGTCTCCCTGTAATGCCAGCTGGCCTGAACTCCTTTTGTAGAACAAACTGACCTCAATCTCACCTGCCTCTGCCTCTGTCTCCCAGGTGCTGGGATTAAAACTATGTGCCACTATACCCAGCTTCACAAATTGATATCTTATACCAAGTATATTTGGAAAATAGAAAACAGCAAAATATTTACAATCTCATTGGGTTATATGATATACAGTATTTGTGTGTATATACACATTTGTATTTGTATTCCTGTGTGTTAGGTGCATGTGCGTGTGTATGTGCATGCGTGCGTGCATGCCTGTGTGTGTGTGTGTGTGTGTGTGTGTGTGTGTGTGTGTAGGCCAGAGGTTGAAATCAAGTGTCTTCTTCAACTGACTTCCATTGTAATCTCTGAGGCAGACTCTCTCACTGAGCATGGAGCTCACCAATTTGGCTAGATTCTCTGGCCAGAGCACCCCTGGAGTCCCCCTGTCTCCATCTCTCTAGTACTGGTACAAGCCATCATGACTGGTTTGTAAAAAAAATTATTTTTATTTTGTGTGTATGTTTTGTCTGCATCGATTTAAATGCATCATGTGTATGCAATGTAAAGGAAGGCATTGGATTCCTTGGAACTGGAGTTAGGGATGCTTGTCAGCTGCCATGTGGGTATTGTGAACCAAACTTGAGTCCTCTGCAAGAACAGCCAGTGAGTGCTCTTAACCCATGAGTCATCTCTTCAGCCCATCATGCATAGCTTTTATGTGGATGCTGGAGATCCAAACTCAGTTCCTCATGCTTATGCAGCAAATACTTTTCTGACTGGGTCATTTCCCCAGACCTTTATATAATATTTTAATCAGCATTAGCTGCTAAAGAAAGGAGTTTATAATGAAAATTGTAACAATCATAATAATCATTTTATGTATGACAACAGATTGCTTACTTATGCAGTCCCTCTTCAGTGCTTTCTGTGTGTTATCTCACTGGGTTTTATTGACCACTCTGTGTGTGGGGGGGGATGGAGGCTATCATCATCTTCACTTTGGAAATAACTTTGGGAAGCTACATAGGTTAGGTCATCTGCAAATCTCATAGTTTATGAATATCTGGAACTTGCAGAAAGGTAGTTTGACATTAAATTCCATGCTTGAACCAATATGCTTTGCTCCTTTCCATATCCATTCATCATGAGGGGGCTTTTATGAACAGAAGTATATCATTTCAATGACTGGCTGGATGCCCTCTCATGGCTTTTCAACTCAGAGTAAAATATAAGATGTTCACCATTTCTTTCAAGGCTTATGTGGTCTGGCCCTGAGCACATCTTGGAAGTCCTCCTCACTGTGCTGCAGGAGCATGCATCATCCTACTGCTCCTCTAAGACATGGTATTTGGCTTTGCATTTTCTCTGTCTCTTCCACACCATTTACTCCTTCCTTTCCCCGGGATCCTACACAAAGCCTCACTCTTAAAGGGGGCTTCCCTGGTTGCAATTTATATATGTATTATTTTTATTTTATGAGTATGAATGTATTGTCTGCATGTATGTAAGTGCACCTGTGTTGTGCAGTGCCTGTGGAGGTCAGAAGAGGGCATCGGATCACTCAGAACTGGGGTTACAGATAGTTGTTAGCCACCATGTAGGTATTGGGAACCAAGCCCAGGTCCTCTGCAAGAGCAGCCAGTGCTCTTAACCGCTGAGCCATCTCTCCAGCTCCCCTGGTTACATTTTCTAAAATAAAGTCTCCCCTGCTTTGTATTACCTTTCAACTTCATTATCCCCAAGCCTTCATTTATTTTTGAAAGTTTTTGAGAAAACGTCTCATTAAGTTGCCCAGCTTGTCCTTGGACTTACCCAGTAGGCAAGGGAAGAACATGAATTTGTAATCTTCCTGCCTTGGCCTCCCAAATATCTGAAATTGCAGCAGGCACCACCAGGTACAGCTTAACTTCCTTAATTTTCAGACAGAACTTATCATCATCTTAAAGCTAGATGGTCATGTGCTCAATGATTTCATTGCTCATCTGTTTTGCTGATGCCCAAGATGTTCTTGAAAGGTGTGGATAAAATAAATAAAATAATTAAGTCTATGCATTATAATATAAAGTACTTGTGTAAGTAAACTTACTACCATCAGTGGGTATGAAATAATAGTAATTTTTTAGTCAAAAACAAGTGGGAAAGTGTTACTCTGTTTTGAATTGCTGCTATGGAGAAATATCTCTAGGGTAGGAGAGATCTATGAGAATATGCATGGATGCAGCATGAGAAAAAGTAGACAATATGAAAATCATATATACACACCCATGTACTTTGGTATCACCAAGAAAGTGTCAGATGTAACTTCCCTCAGAGGGCACAGAGCATGTTTGGAAAGTTCATTGTTTTAGGCACTAACCAGGTATAGGATGGAGTTGGGCTCAGAGGTCTAGACTGGACTAAAATAAGAACATGGGGAAGCACATTTTGGTATAAATCTTTAGTCCTTTGCCCCTGGAACTCCCTCAAGTTCCAGTGTCGTCCCAGGGATATGAGGCTCCACATACCCTAAATGCTCCAATTGTCCCACACTGCACGCATATGTCAGACTTTGTCTTGAAAAGACTTGTACCCTACCCTGAGCTTAGAAAGAACCTCACTATATATGATCAGTTCTAGAAGTAGACTGACATCCAGGTAAGCACTACAAGGGTGGTGCTGGATTAAATCCCCCAGGATCAATCTTAGCAGGCTAATTCTGGAACAAACATGGTTTGTCTCAAAATTTGGGGCGCAGCAAGTGGGAGGGAGGGGGGAGGAAGAGAGGGAGGGAGGGAGAGGGAGGGGGAGAGAGAGAAGAAGAAGGAGTAGGGAAAGGAGGGAAAGGAGGGGGAGAGACAGAGAGAGGTCCACTGGCCTACAGTTAGCTGATTGGTAAGAGCACAAATAATGGGCGGGACTTCTGAAGCTTAATTTCAGAGGAGTCTGTTTAACATTACATTTTGTAAAGAGCACAAAGACAAGGTCTGTTTATTAACTTGAAGGAGAGAAGTGTCTCCCAGACACCTGAAGTATATTAATAAAGATAAATGGAAAGAACATGCATTTTTTTTGCTCTTTATACTCAGTGACACTAGCCAGAGTTTGAATACAGTTATAACTAGATATACAAGTAAAACAGACTCAGTGAAAGATGCTTTTAAAAAATAAGTACACTTAAAAATACAAATATAAAATATTAATATGATGATTGATGGCATACTATTTGTTTTAGTGCCATAACAGCTATGGGATAATGTATAGAGGAAAACAAATTTTAAAATGCAATTACACTTTTACTGAGAGTGCATAGATTATGTTTTATGGTAGAATAGGGCATTTTCTTTAACAAATACATTGATTGGCTTTTTAAAATAAAAATCTGATGGAGAAAAAGCATCATAAATATCAATATAAAAAGAAAGAATACAAACCAAGTATCAGTTAAAATGGGCCAAATAAATTAATCCAGAAAGAATCTTATTCCTCTAACTTATACAACTGTTGTTTTCTTCAACCTAGTTAGCAATGATTTTAAAATAAGAAATGTATCCAACTTACTAAAGATTTATCAGGATAGACCCCAGCTCTTAATAGAGATGCTTTCCAGCTGTCCACATCCTCCTGGGAATCACACGCCAGCTCCAGGAAGCGATAGTCTTTGTATACATTCCTAGAGTCAAAAAAAGAAAAGAAGACCCATGCATTTAGTTATGAACCAAATTCAAATGATCTTAGATCATTGCAGACACTGATCATAATTCAAATAGGGTGGTTCTCTGAAACTGCTAGAGGAAAACAAAAACAATTCAGTGTATTTTACAATAATTAGCAAATTTCCATATGCGCTTCTCATATAATTCCTTTTCATAATCTGGCAGTAATGATCTCGGAGTTCTCTAAAAGAGCAATTAAAAGCCAAAGGGAGGAGGCAACAGACAGTGCTCAGTGGTAGAGGGCCGGCCTAGCATGAGTAAAGTCCTATGTGCAATTCCTAGCACCACAAAAACAGAGAACCAAGGAAAATGTAACCTGATGGGCTCTGTGCTGTGCAGGGAGCCATTGCCATCGCCCAGTAATAAGGCCGAGTTTCTAACACTATTTTACAAATCTGGTTGAATAAATAGCTTCTAAAATTTTGAAAAACATGACAATAATCCTTAAAAAAAAGTCTGCTAGATTTAAAAGACTGCTAGATTCAGAGAAGAGAAGGTCATCAAAGTATGTAAAAAGGTTGAAAGTATGTAAAAAGTGTTGAAAGGGTTTCAGTGGCTCTTGTGTTTCTTCATACCTAGGGCAGCATTAAGGTTTTACGTTTTTCCTGATAATAACACATAACATAGTATGTAATACATGGTAGTGTTTAAAATTTGGAAACTAGATAAAAGCACAAGAATGGGATAACCACCCATGTCCTGCTTCTGACAGATAACCTGGCTGTCTGAATCTTCAGTTCTGCACATCTTTGGCACAGCTGAGGCTCCTCCCCACTCTCTCCCACTCTTTTCTTATCTAGTGCTCTGCTAGTTTTATGTCTCTCTTTCCCACTTATTGTTACATCATGGAAATTTAACACCATTAAATCTTTGTAAACATAAAATTATAATGACATAGCATTCATTAATATAAATATATAATGATTTGTGTAACCTTCCAATATAATGAAATCATTCAATTTTTCTTTTGCTAACGTAACACATACTTAACTTTGTCGCTATTACTTTTTGAGGAAAGATTTCTATAGTTGCAGAATCAAAAGTTATGATTACTTGAAAGACATTTAGGGATATTCCTATCAGCTTTTCAGGAAAAATCATTTAATTTCAATGGACACTAGTTTATTTTTCTTTTCTGTTACTCTCCTGACATGTTTTTCATTCATGCCTAACAGCCTTAATTTCTACCTAATCCCAGAGGGCACTCACGTCTGCATCTCTCACCCAGATCTGACCCTGAGTCACAATGTCCACTGATTTCTCCATTTGAGCATCTCAGAGGAAGAGACAAAAAGTGAACAGTTGACTTGGTGACTTTCAACTTGGTTTTCTCCACTGTTCCCATTCCAGACAGAAGCAGTACAACCCACATCCCTAGAAGACATTTTGACACCTTCCATACTGCCCTTCCCTTTTCCTGCCACCAAGGAATGGCCTCCTTCACTATTGATCACCACCTGACTATCATCTGCCTGTTGAACTACTACAATAGCCTCTTCATTGCTCACCCAGCATCCCACACTCCTTTTCATTCATTCTATGCACTGAGTCCTTATGGCCTTCTGAAAATGTGAATCAACCATTTTACTCTAATGACTCTCTGTGTTTAGGAAAATAAATACCCATGTTATGATGGCCCACAATGCTCCTCCAGTCAGTTAGTAGTAACCTCCATCCCTGGCATCTTTTTATACTTTTCTCTTCCTGTTCCAGTCACCTTGACCTCTAGGTTCCTGGAAGGTGTCAAATAGGCCAGGCTTACACCACCACCCAGGCCTTTACACATACTGCGCTAGGCCCGACACTCTTGGCACACTTGCTTTTTAGTTGCTGTTGTTAATTTCTTATCTAATTTTTGTGCATTTCATACAGAACATCTTAATCAATCTTAATCATCCTTATGCCTCTTCCCCATTGGCACCCTCCTATAGCTCCCCCCAACCCCCAACTGGAATTCATACATTCTGTCATTTGTTTTAAGATCTAGAGTGTTAAGTAGGTGACTCCAGGCATCCCTTAGTACAAGTTCATCCACTGGGGTCTAATCAGCCTATCTTGCCAGCCTCCCTTCAAGATGATCAGCTCTCCCAGCAGTAATCAGCTGCCAATAATTCTTCAGCTAAGATTGGGCTCTGCTGCCCATTTCCACAGTTCTGTGCTGGGTTCTGTCTGCTTGAGTTTACATGGGTCTTGTGCATGCTGACACAATTGTTGTAGGTTTATATGAGCAAGGTCCCAGACACTTGCTTTTTATTGGTTCTCAGCTCAGTCACCGCCTCCTTAGACATTACTTCTTTGATATCCCTACTAGGTCAACTCCTCTTTCCTGCATTTTTCACCTTTCTTTCCTTCATACTGCCTATCAAAGTTCTGATTTTTGGAATATGCATTTTTCTTTTCTCTCTCTCCTGTCCTCTACTCCTTTCTTTCCATTCTTCCTTCCTCCCTTCTTCTCTGTAGTAATTCACCCTCACTCTTATTTATTTTGATGAACAGGTGCCTTTCCATGTAGGCAGTATACTTCATGAAAACAGTGACTACATCATCATTATACATCCAGGGGATTTAGGAAAGCAACTCCATTTCCTCTTCAGTGTCCACTCAAGTCAAATATATCCTCTCTTCTCAAGTCAAGCCAATGGTAGGTTTGGTACTCAGGCAGTAGAATAGTAATATGAGTAAGATAGTTTTCCTGCTCTGGGATGGATAAGAGCTTTATGCTTGATTCTCTGCCCCTAAAGAACCATGGAAGGAGGGGGAGAGCTTTCATCACCCAAATGCAGAAGAAAGTCTCTCATATGGTCTATTTTTGATCCATGATGATTGAGATGCTGTCTATGTTCATGAGACCAGTTCACTCAGTACACACACACACACACACACACACACACACACACACCACATACAACCAGACCTCTGCCACAATGAACAAATGAAAAGAAAAGCACATGGAGGTCTAACAGCTATAGAGAGAAAGAATGAGGAATGCCATCAGAAGGACTGGGGGAAACAGAAAACAGAAGAATAACAATAACTTGAGAAAGTACATGTTTACTTCCTGGAACCGAGGTACAAATTATTTACATATTAAGTAGACAAACTAAAGAAAGGGTGGTCAATACTGAGATGAAAGTTAGGAGCTTTGAAGATCCAATGAGAAAAGTGGAAACATATAAACAGACAGAATGTTGAGCATGTGGAAGAACAGCTCAGAACTGACTTGGAAATGGTAAGTCCCAGAAAAAGAACTTGAGGATGGGAGGAGAAAATAATTATAAAGGGGAAACTTCTGGGGATAACTTCTCCTTGATTTGCTTATTCTTATTTTTAAGAAACCTATTCCCTGGAAAAATATATTTGTTTTATTAATAGTACATATTAATTATATAATATAATGACATGTTAACACATGTATATTACATGCTTTGATCATATCTGACCCCTTCCCCTCTCTTTTGTCCCCTCTCCTCTTTTCTGGATCTCTTTCTTCTTCTCTTTCTACTTATATGCTGTTTTTTACTTTTTCTTTTCCTCCTAGATTCTATATAAGAGAGAAAATGTTATATATCTGTCTTCTGAATCTGGATAATTTAATTAAACAAGATAATCTCTAATTCTCTCTACTTTCCTGCAAATGTCATGATTTTTTTCTTTATGGTTGAATAATACTCCACTGTGTGTATATATACCATATGATAACTGGTGTTATTTTCTTAAGGAAACTTTCCCTGATTTTATAAACAGACTCAAATTACACATTGAAAATTCTATTGGGGAGTAATTGATAAGATGCTAATATATTTCTTGAGTTTTGAGATAAATGAAACAGTCTTAAAGTCTTTAAAGAAACAAGTAGCTTCCAAAGGAACATGAACTGCCTTGGTCTGATACTACATCAAACAATGAAGAGGAAAAAGGTCTTAAAATAACACCCATGGAACTGAAGTCTGGACATCATCAACACAGCCAATCTGAGGACACTCCTTTAACAGACTGAGGGTGAAAGTAAAACCAAGGGAGTCTGCAGAAGAATTCAAGTTAGGGAAACCCTAGTGAGCAATAAAACTTGGAAGGTCCATGATGTCTAGAACAAGCAATGGAGAGCCATAGAGCCATCTAAGAATGTGCAGGGTAATTATGAACTCTTTGTTTTTGGAGGGGGTGGTTGAAACAGGGTCTCCCTGTGGCTCCAACTGGTCTAGAACCCACTATGTAGAGCAGACTGGCCTCGACCTCACAGATATCTGCCTGCTTCCTGGCTCCCAAGTGCTGGGATTAAAGGCATGTGCCACTACGCTCAGCAACTATGGACTCTTAAAGCAGAAAAAGATATGACAGGAAACCTAATATTCTAATGGCTCTGAGAGGGTGGGAAGAAGCAAAACTGTGCCTGGTACCTTGTCTGGCCTGTGGAGTGATCAAGAGCAAGGAAGTAAAGGGGCTTCACTGTCATGAGAAGTTAGTTGGGGAAAAGGAAGAGAGGAAATATCTCAACTGGGGATGAATAACTGGGCATTTGCCTCATGAAATATGAAATATTAACAGTAGTTATTGAGGATAAATATAACTATTAATTAAATAATAACAATAGAAGTCTCAAATTTTAAAAGATAAACAAATTACCAGATTTTTGAGCAAACCAACAACAAAAAAGTAAAACAAATCAGAAGAACAACAGAATAAATGAATTTAAAATAATATGGCACCAGCACAGAAGCAGATAAAGTGGAGTGTGATAAAGAACCTAGAAATAAATCCAAAGACTGCACCCACCTAATGTCTGACAAAGGTGTCAGGAACATACACTAGTAAACAGAGCCCATTCAACAAATGGTGCTAGGTAAACTGGACCTCCATTTGTATAAGAACGAAATTAAAACCAGGCATGGTGGCGCACGCCTTTAATCCCAGCACTGGGGAGGCAGAGGCAGGCGGATCCCTGTGAGTTTGAGGCCAG